ATGCCGCCATCGCACGAGAACGCGGATGGGAGCAGCATGGTCAATGCGCAGTGTGCGCAGCGAGGTAAAGTGGAATGCGCAAAGAGAGGTCGAGGAAATGCGCCAGGACTTCCAGCGACGTGCGGGCGAGCGATCAAGACGGGAAAAGTGGGCGCATGTATTCGCAGATATGGTCTGAAGCTTGAGAGGAGGTTGTTGTACTGAGAATGGAAAGGGCAGGGATGTATAGAGGGATTGTTGCTGATGTGTGTGTGTGAGACGGAGACCGGAGGTCTGTGCGAGCAGCAGGTAGAGGATGTAGGATGCAGGTCTGGGAGGGGATTGGAAGAGGGAGGAGGAGGATCTGCGAGAGGCGCCGGGAAGAAAAGGCCCGTCGCAGGCCGCAGGATGCATGGGCAGCAAGCCACCAAAACCCTTGAAGCCATGCACCAGTTGGGTGCCAGTCGAAGCTGTGGACACCCAGGACACCCAATTTTTTTTAATCAAGCACCTGGACTCTCCCTAGACGCCTAGCTCAGTGACTAGCTTAGTGCCTAGCTCGGTGCCTACCTGAAGAACCAGCGAGAACCAAGACACGCCGCCGCCGTTGAAAACGAGTAGAGCAGCAGAGCAGCTCCGACAGAAACAACCAACTCAAAGTCAAAGAACTGGCACACCCCTTCCCTACTCGTACAAGCAGAGTCCCAGCATCAGGCTATTTCCCTCTTTTGGTAGTGGTAGTGTTATTAGTGGTAGTGGTCCTGCTAGCCAAAACACGTCATCTCGCCTACGAGTACAAGGGCCGGAGTGATGGGGATGTGATGGATGTGAATGCGATCAACTCGAATGTCTTCTGTACCTCGTACTCTTATGTACTCGGTACTCGTAGTTCTGCCCATCGCATCTATTACCTGCAATCTCACAGCTGAATCACGGTGAGTGAGTGACTACCTAGGTACTTCTCCCCCGATCATCACCGACTTTTTGGCCCATATCCTGCATTTATCGTACGACGAGGTAGGTTCTCAACGGTCCTGCAGCAGTAGTTCCCGGCGAACATGCACTGACCTACCAGCCTACCTACTTGGTAAGCTACTGATAAAATTATCGATTGGCGTCGGAGAATTTGTTATCGAGAAAGCTGGTCAAAAGCGTGGCAGTGTGTGGCCAGTAAAGTGATAGAAGCCCCTCATAAATGCCTCAAGCTTTGCCCGTTACAAGCACCAGCGTCTGCATCAATTCGAGCCTAGAAGGGTCCTCAATTTCAGGGATGAGCTTCCAGGGAAATTGGCTGATCCGGGCTGGTGTGAACTGGCGATCTAGAGCAGCCACAGCAGTCACAAGCAGTCCGACGCGTGGTGACTACGCGTCTATAACGCGCTAGATGTAAAAAGGGAAAGCATGGCCTTGGTTGGCTCACGTGACTGTCTGTGCTCTACCATGTCCACGAGGCTGTACATTCCTCGACTTCTTCTAGACTCCCCATCCCCTTCTGAAGTTATTCTGCTATGATCTCTTTCCCTTCTGTTCTCATCAAGCACGAACCACCAGATCTTCTCAATAAATCTAGCATGCTTCTCCACAAGCTTACGCACACCAGTGCCAACCAACTCTCCTTGCAAGTCATTTCCTTGACAATGCCGGTCACACGGTCCAGATCTCGCCCAGCAAACAAAGCCTTTCTCGGACCTCATTGTCCATCGTGCAGTTTTCCTACCACGTGCGTACCGCTGCATGCAAATTCTCTCCCTCGCGTCTTTGTTTTTGTCCCTCGGATCACTGCATGCGATCCATCCGTGACCCCCCCATAGGCTGTCTCCATGATTCCCTCATGTTCATCAAACCAATTGGTGTGCTTGAAGCTTGCCCATTGCGGCAGAAGATACAGCTCAAAGCAGTCAGAAAGCTTCTTTGCGTCCTTTGCCCATGAATCGTAGGGACAAAACGATGCTCTTCGCCCCCCGTCGTTTCCTTCGACCCTTTCAGACTGGCCCCTCTCCTTGCTGCGTAAGGTTCTCTCGTGCGCGATCAAGATGAGGAACATTCAAGGCGCCATTTTCGCCATCGTGCTCAGCTTGACCTTTGGCCATGTCTCTGCTTTCTGGCGAATGGTGTGCGGCACGGTTCAGGTAGGCAGAGTCGACCCCATCGTCAACCCCGGCGGGATTTCCGGTCACTGTCATACCATTGCTGGACCAAACAGTAAGTATTGGCTTGTGAAGGCCTGTGGGGATGCACCTCAACTGACTGCGAGTAGATATCAACACCACATCGACATTTGACAGCCTTCAAGCCGCTTACTGCACGTCTTGCAGCGTTCAGAAAGACAAGAGCGCCTATTGGACACCGAATCTGTACTTCAGACACCGCAACGGTTCATTCGAGGAAGTCCCACATGACGGGACAGTCGTGTACTATTTGGATCGTGGCGTGGATGTAGCCAACATGGTTCCTTTCCCACCTGGCTTCCGCATGCTTTCTGGCGATGCTGCAGCTCGATCGTTCGACCCCGTCACCCTGACCTATGGAAACAGGACCTACGGCGGGACTCCGGTTTCCAACCGTATCAGCTATGCTTGTCTGGACAGCAGTGGACCGCAGCCAGAGACTCCAGGCTTCAAATCCACTCGATGTTCCTCAGGTCTTCGCGCCCAGGTGCACTTCCAAAGCTGCTGGGATGGCGTCAATCTGTACAAGACTGATCAAAGCCATGTGGCATATCTCTCTGGAATGGACAACGGCATCTGCCCGCCTACTCACCCAAAGCTACTCCCTCACTTGTTCTTCGAGGTCATCTATTCCGTGAACAGCGTCGACCAATCTAAAGGTGGGATGTTTGTCTTCTCCCAGGGTGACACGACGGGCTATGGCTTCCACGCCGATTTTTTGAACGGCTGGGACGTCGACGTTTTGGACTCGGCCATCGACCAGTGCATGGGTCCCAACGCCGTCAATAACGGCCAGATCGGTCTGTGTCCACCACTGCAAGCGTCCGTCGACCCGTATTTCAGTCAGAATTGTCCTGAACAGGCTCCCTTTGTCAATGAGACAGTTCACGGCCTCTTGAAGGTCCTTCCAGGTTGCAACCCCCCCACAGGCGGTCCATTACGTGCCACTCAAAATATCTGCCCTGTCCAACCGGCGCTGAATTACATCCCCAACCAAGACTGGAGGAACCGATCCGTCGCCATTCCGGGTCAAAAGGTGGGAAGCTGGCAGTATATGGGGTGTGCTCTCGACACAAGTGCACCTCGGCCGCTCGCCGGTTTGAGCTATAGCAGTCAAACCAACATGTCCATCGAGAGCTGCACGGCATTCTGCAAGCAAAACGGCTATTTTATGGCTGGCATGGAGTACTCGTCTCAGTGCTATTGCGCTAGCTCGTTGACACAGCCCCTACAGAGCCCACTCAACTGTTCACAGCAGAATTACATGGTTTGCACTGGCAATCAGTTCGAGTATTGCGGTGGACAGAGTTTGATGCAGATATGGAACGACACCACGTACTCGGGACCTGCAATCAAGCCTGTCCCTGTTCCCGGGTCGACCGTGATGTCTGTCCCTGGCGGTGGAAATGCGACGTACCAAGGCTGTTACATGGAGGGAGTAGGAGGTCGAGCCTTGACGGGATCGTCTTTCTCGAACAGCACCGGTATGACCCTGGAGCTTTGTGCCGCGTTCTGCTCAAAGACCAACTCTGCGTTCTTTGGCACCGAGTACAGTCAAGGTAAGCTCAACATTCTCCTTTCATCCCTGCTTACAGTCCCATTTGGCTGACTTGAGCTTGTGTAGAATGCTACTGCGGCGGCAGCATCAGCACCGCCGTAGCCCCACAGACGGCCTGCTCCTCCTTCTGCTCAGGCGACAAGACCGAGTTTTGTGGTGGAAGCTCTCGCCTCTCTGTTTGGGCGTTGGGGAACTATCAACCGCCTGCTGCAAGCGGAAGTGGCACAGCTACCGGCACCGGGGGAAACTCCGGACCCTCATCGACTGCGAGCCCCGTCCCCGCCGCCACGGGCATTACATCGATGGGCTGCTACAGCGAGACGACTCCGACACGGGCCTTGACGGCGCTCTTCACGGCGGGCGCCTCGATGACGATCGATCTCTGCGCCCAGAAAGCCCAACAGCTCAACCTGCAGTACTTTGGCGTGGAATTCGCGTCGCAGTGTCTGGCGGGCAGCGCGCTGAACCCGGCTTCCACGCCCCTGGTGTCGACAAAATGCAGCATGAAGTGCGCCGGCAACAGCACCCAGGTGTGTGGCGGGTCCAACGCCATCTCGCTGTACCAGAATACGCTGTACGTCAAGCCGACGAACCCGAACCCGGTCAACGTGCCGAACCAGCCCGGTTCCCAGTACGGGTACGTGGGGTGCTACAACGAAGGCAACGGCGCCCGCGCGCTGGGCAGCACCGATCGAACGGGCTCCGCGGCCACCTCGTCCGCGACGCTGACGGTCGAGGCCTGCGCGGCCTTTTGCTTCGCAAAGGGCTACGCCTGGATGGGCGTCGAGAACGGCAACCAGTGCTTCTGCAACGCCGCCGGTGTCATCAACGGCGCCGTCCTCTCTCCCGGGGGTGACGCCGACTGCACCGTCACCTGCACCGGCAACGCCACCGAGAACTGCGGCGGTAGCGCCAAGTTGAACGTCTACCAGCTGAGCAGCGGGAGTGCGAGTGCGCGGTTCGCCACGACGGGGAAGTCGGGCAAGAGGGACATCAGGGGCGTGAAAGGTATGAGGTTCCGGACTTGGTGAAACGTTTGCTAAAACGTTTGGTTTCTTGGGGAGGGGTTTTTTTTTTCTCTCTCATCTGAGTGTATGTCGGTACGTATGCCGGCATGGCCCTCGTATGTATGTATGTACGTACGTATGTATGCATCATGTGTTCAATCGTGCAAATGGCGCTCAATCGTGGTCAAGGAGAGAATATCTACCATCTATCTGGCTGCCGGTTGGTGGTTGGTCGGTTGGTTCGTTCGTTCGTTGAATATACCCACTACCTAGCACGCAGCGCTCGCTTTAAACGGTAACATGTACCTCATCCTCGTGTGTCGCTCCCTGACCGGCAGATCCCAGCTGACCACGTGCCACTGCCCGAGTCGGCGAACTCCCACGGCCAGAATACATCAGACGTCGAACCACGCGCTGGATGGGACTGTCGTCAAACAGAAGTGTGACGACGACGTAGACGACGGTAAAGGCCGACGCTACGAGCACCAACGCCACAGTCCACAGGGGGACGAGACACAGACGAAGAAAGCTGACGACAGCTCTAGCAAGGGTCTGGGGCCCTCTCCGCATCCGCCAACTACTCTTCTTGTTCTTCGTCTTCGTCTGCCCCTTGTCTGAATCCTCGTCCTCATCCGAATTCTGGGATGACTCTTCTTCTACTCCGACAGAGGCGCTCTTGACCCCTACACCTACCGCCGCCGCCGCCGCCGCCGCTGAAGACCATCCTCCTTTTCCGACCTGCCCCTCTTGACCACCAGGACCGTGCCCGACACAGCCTAGCAGCCGCAGCGCAAAATGCACCTCCCCCAAAGGGAGCACAAAGATGACATACCACAGCACGTCCATTAGCGTGTGAGGCGACCTGTCGGCCGCCATAGGGGATGTGAGGCCATCGTCGACAGACCCGTCTCTGGTGCCACCGCCTGGTTTGGAGTCAGTGATGACGCTCTGTTCGGAGCGCTTCTCGAGCTTGGGATGCGGTAGCTTACCCTTGACAAAGCCATTGCTGTTGACGCTGACTGCTACCCCTGCAGCTGAATCTGGAGCTATTTGGACTGGCGCTTTGTTTGGAGCAAGAGGGTGAGGAGAAGCCCAGCGACTGTGCTGCAGCGTGGATACAAGGTAGGTGCTATGACGGCGCGCCAATTTGCCAAAGGAACCAAAGGCAGCGGCAACTTCGTTGACGTTGAAGGCGATGAGGATGAGGGGAATGATGATGGCGGCGGAGATGGAGACTGGGCAGGTTGTCATCAGCGGCGCGAGAGAGGTGAAAGGTTAGGAGCTCAATGGGTGGGCTCACTCACACATATACTTGGAGACATAGCCGAGATGGAGGCCGTCAGGGTCTTTGGGGAACTCGACGATGTTGATGGCGAAGAATGCCGCGATAAAGGATAGGGGGAGCTGGGACATTGCGTCAGTTATTTGTGGTGTCAAGCATATGATTGCTAAATGGTACGCACGAAAACTATAGTGACAATGGTGAAGACCATGATCGTATTACCCTGCCTGGCTGTTTCTTCGGCCTGTCTCCGTGTCTGCACGGCTTCATCGCGGGCCCAACGCGCCTCGAGGAGGCTTGCATGCTTCTGTTTGAGGTCGACCAGATGGTTGAGCTGGAGAGAGACAGTTAGAGACTTGCACAAGCAGATGGGAAATGAGAGTAGAGGTGTACCGCGTCTAGTGTTCTTGCAGCCTGATCGTCCATTCTCTTGATATCAGCAATGTTCCAGTCCACGATCTGGCATGGTATGGCGAATCTGGGGGTATCAGAGTCTGCTTGCGTCTCTCGGTCGTCTGTGGTGACTTCATGCTGACTGTCGTTGCCGTTGCCGTTGCCGTTGCCGTTACCATTATGCGCCTCGACACCACCAGTCGCTTGGGGAGGTCTAGGCTTATTGCCTTTTCGAGAAGCATCACTTGGGATTTTGACACCCTTGGCGAGTCTCTTCAGATCCTTGAGGACCTTTTGCTGATCTTGGAAGATTATCAAAAGGGTGTGGAGTTCGTCGCGGATATCCTTGACCTCTTTCAACAGTTCAACCTCTTTGCGGATATCAAGAAAGTCTCGACTATTCTTGTCCAGGTCATGGCCCGTGTCCTGGTTCTTCAAGTTCTCTACCATGGAGGAGAATTTCTTGAATTGTTGAGCTTCTTTGTTGGTCTATCAAATCAGGGTGAGTCAGTATTTTGCAGTCTGATATGGAGGGATGCTGCTTGGATGGTAGAACCAACCACTGCCCCTATCGACATCTCATAGTGCTCAAGAAAGTGGACTGTCTTATCGCCACCCTTACTCGGGTCGAGGCATGTTCTCAGGCACTCGCCAATAATGAGTTCGGCAAATTCATATGTTGACCGGATTGGAGAAGAATTCGTCTCGATGTTGCGGGCAATATCAGTGCGCTCGTGAGGTTCACCTTGGTAGCTCCATCTCTCAGGGAAGCTGGTGAATACCATGTCTATACTTCGTCAGTATTCTCACGCCCAAGAGTATAAAAGAATATGTCTCTGTGAGCAAAGCCTACCTCCAACAACCCACAGCCACAACTGGTCGACCATCATAAGGACCTTGTCGCCAACGAGATCACCGCGATCGAACAGGCGACCTGTCACTTGATCACCATCTCTGTCGCTGGTGTCGTCTAGGGAGAAGTAGTAATACTGGTCGAGCGTACGGCGAAGGTGAATAGGGTTGCTGCCGTCTTTGGCATTCAAATATGCCCAAATGAGCTTCTTGTGCTTGTCCGCTTCATGCATCTCGCCACGATCCACTATGATGCTCTTTACATAGTCTCTCATGTCGACAAACGTCTCCCACTTCTCCCAGTGGATGTAGGGCATCTTATTGTCAGTTAGTTTGGGCCGGATCTTTACTCCAAGGGAGCTTACAATGAATACAAAGTCTGCGTGGCCGTCACGCTTGTCTACATGTGGACCATGGGAATATCTCATTAGCATGGGAGCACGAATAAAAGCGGGAGACCAGTCAAGGGGGATGGAGAACAGAAACAAACGAGACTGAGCATACTTATAGACTCACAGAAGGGAGTCAAGAAGCAAGCATGGGGTCGGTGAGGCGAGGCTTTGTGTAGTCGTTCAATCCAAAGATCAGGACGCAGGACAACAGCCCGCGAGACTTTTCCTACACTCTCGTACTGCTGCATCGTGAGCTGAGATTGAAGTATTAGAGATATGGATTGAAGTTGTGGTCTCGACAGTGGTCATACCTCGATCCATCTCATCTGTGACACGGTTAGCCACCAGTGATATCGTGGGCTTTAAAGCAGAGGATGCGGAACTCACGTTATTTGCTGGAAGATGTAGCCATCTGAGGCGCTGCACTTCAGCCGGTAAGTTTCTGTAAATGTCGGCCTTCCCGTTGACAATATCTCTGAGCTTGGGCTTGTCTGCCTCTTTGAGAGGACGTGCGATACCATCGGAGAACTTGATGTCAATAACATTCGCGTTGAACAGGCTGTCCACATCGTCGGTCCGTCCGATAGGTTCGTTAGAAAGTTTTGGAGCATCCCCTTTTGCCTCGAGGACTTGGAACACCAGATTGTTTGTGGTTCGTTGGCCGCGTATGACATTTTCAACCTTTTCTGTGGCGATGATCCTTCTTTGTAGGTCTGTCGAAGTCAAGGGTTGGGACGCTGTGGACTCAAAATTAGGCGCCCCATCACCGACAGTCGCCGACTCATCGACCGTGTGGGGAGCATGCAAGTCGACTTGGTCGCTAGATGCGGCTTCCCCAAGAGGTTTTTGGTGATCCCTCTTAGCTTCAATGGCAAGATCTCTGGCTGTTTTGCCAGCATGGTCCTTTAAATCTGGATCCGCCCCGTGGGCAAGGAGCAGGCGCACCATGGGCTCCTGGTCGTCTGAAGCAGCATAATGCAGAGCTGTACGTCCTATGCGGTCCTGGTCGTCGATTGGGCTTTCACACTCTAGCAGGACGCTGAGGACTTCCTCATGGCCTTGCATGACGGCAAGATGTAGGGGAGTGCAGCCATCTACATCCCGTATCGAGAGGTTGAAACCGTGTCCTACCATAGCTCTGACTATATCTTCCTTGCCTCTGATGACGGCGTGGTGTATCGCCGTCCTGCCTTGGTCATCGCCCAAGTAAGGATTGCCTCCCATGTCCAAAAGTAGGTTGAGAGTCACCCCATGGCCATTGTGTACGGCGCATATCAAGGCAGTCCATCCGTGATCGCCGCGAATGTCGATACTATAGCGTTCAAGGCCATCGAGCTTGTCGGCAACGACTTGATCGAGACCTAGGAACGACGCAACCATCATGTCGGAGAATTCTCGAGGACAGGGAAAGGGGACTTTGTCGATTGTACTCCAGAAAACCCGAAACCAGGTTTTGAATCGGGCTGAATTGGTGTCACAGAGGGCGATTGCGTTTGGCAAGAGCAGCTCATCTCCATTGGTAATGAGGCTAAGGTGGGGTGCCCAGGATTCAGCCGCGTACTCCAGAAACGGATGCAGCTTGAGATACTCCTTGATCCAACCATCGGACTCGGGGGTTCCATCTTGTATGGATTCTGGCAGGGGATCGGTGGCGAACTCGTCGAGCAAAAGGTCGGCGATGCAGCTGGTTGCAAGCAGAAGCTGGGGGTTGCCAGGATTCACCATGCCATCGCCACCAGGCCCTTGGAGTAGGAAGTGGCGAAGCGACCAATGCAGAGAGTGTACCTTCTCCTCTGTGATATGGAGGAGATCCACGCTCGCTGTCACGATACGCTGGCTGTAGGATGATTCGTCCGACGACTGAAGGTACTTGACCTCCCTGTCTCCAAGCTTGATCGTGAGGGCCACATGCAGTTCCGCCAAGGTCAGCGGTCGCGTCGCGGCACAGGCTATGGAGAGAATTTTCATGGCATAATTTCGGTCTTCGCTCCGCTCAATCATTGCAAGATAAACCTGTGAGATAACTGTAGGCAATGTCGTGGATAGAAGTTTTTCCAGCGATCCTTGCGTGTAGATGTTGGAATTCTCCAGCATACGAATCGCTTCATTGGCCCAGAGATACGTGCTTCCCGCCCTTTCAAGCATTGTCTCCTCGACACGACGCGATGCAGATGCTTGAAGGCCGCTGCGGATGGCCAGTTCGAGAACGGCAGACCGAACATATTGCTTGATATCGTTGTCAACTTCCCTCTTCAGGCTCCAGTTGTCCAAGTTCAACCATCGCCATTCAGTTCTACCTTGGGCCAGACGACACCAATGGTCATATATCTTAGGGCGCGGACGAGATGTGAGTATGAGCTTCAATTGGTATCGCCGCTTGCTCGTACACAGATCCCCAATGACTTGAAGCAATTCCGCCTGCTCACTGCACTCGTTCAACGCATCAAGTATGCAGACCAAGTTCCCGCATTCAGGATCGTTGATGACGTCGAACAGAATCGACCGTAAACCGGCTGGGGTTTGAGCGCGACCCCCGAAGTTTTCATCATATAAGGGACGAGCATGACGGATGAGAGCTGGTTTCCGGGTAAATAGCTGATGCAGCATAGCACGGAGAGCCGATGTCAATTTTTGAAACTCCTGACCACGATCATTGAAAAAGAAGTAGCAAATCGTGGCCTTAGGACCCCATGTGGCACGATCGATGAGGTGCTTAGCCAGCACTGTCTTCCCACAGGCCGTCCGACCCATGAGCATGAGAACGGTTACCTCGAGGTCCTGGAGCCAGTCTTGATAGTCGGCAACACGGTCTATCCACTCACATGTTCCAGGGGCTGCTTTCTGCACTCTGTCCTTGAAATCTTTGTAGGGAGTTGTGGCAAGACCCTTCACAAAATTTTTGTCCTTTTGGTCGTCGAAGTTCCTTTCGTGTATATCGCCGCGGATACCAGCAACGAATTCCATGGTGTTAATATGTCGACAGAGAACAGGGTCGAGTCCGCGTCTCACAGCCTTAGTGACCGGCACCACCAGATTGATCGCTGATGGGGTTTGGAAACAATGTCGGAAACTGAATCCAGTGAGCAGCATACGCCAGAACAGCTGATCTGGTTGATCGTAACGCGGAAGCTCCGAGAAAATTGACAGAACATTCACTGGAGCGTACTAGGGATACGGCCTCGCAATCTTCACATTCACATAAAAGGCAACTGGCGAGGCCTTGTCGGCTGAACCTCAACCAGGCTGATGAGCCAAAGCTGTTTTTGATGTGCAGCAACCACGTCAATAATACAGGCATGGGTAGCTGCTGGTTAAGCGAGGCCGAACTGGTAGGTAGTTGGTGATGCCGTATCCCTGCCCAATAAGTGAGTACAGCCCCCACACATTGAGAGATGCTGGCGAATGAAAAATGGTTGAGGTGTCATGGGTGGCAGTCCAGCCTGTGACGGCTTCGCGGCGCAAGCGATAAGCAGCCGTAGGTGGCAAGCTCTTGATGCGTACAATACGAACTGACCGTGAAATCTTGTAATAATTGGATGAGCTGATCAGCAAAATATCGACCAGGACAGCAGTCAGCTGCAAATCTCCCAATCCCTTCTCAGCGTGCCGCATATACGAGTATTTTGCCATCAACGGGCCGCTCCAGAAGTGGCCACTTTGATTGGACTCGTTCAATATCAATCGGCCCTGGAGCGGATGAGCGGCTCAATCACGCAAATTGTCCTATTACGGCTGCCAATACAAAGTTGCTCTACCAGCGCCATCTCGTTGCCTCTAACCCGGATGTACGAGACCACAAGAGGGATTCAGCTGCGGGGTTGCCCGCTTGCAAGGCAGATAGCGCTGGCACTCACCGCGAGGGTAATGTGGCCACGCAAGCACGTGCTACTGTCGACATGGTCGGGTGGTGCGTGTGTCGAGCTTTGGTAGCTAATGGGGTCCCAACTAGGGAATGACACTGTTGACTTTGCAGATGGATGTTTCATACTTGTCAAGCGCGTCACGGCTCTCCTCTGCTTCTGTATAGCGAAAAGCAATCGTCCCACACTGGTGTGTTGCAGTATCGTGGAGAGAATCTGGAGAGAATTATGGTTGTCGAGCCAGAACTACATATGCAGAGCAAGGCAGAGGAGGTTGAAATATGCACAGGGGAAGAAACCCCAAAAGAAGTCTCTTGGGACGCTAAAAGGCTTGGCCCGCTACCACCAAAGAAGGTACCACGCTGTTGAGCCACGGCAGTCACAACCCAAACTTACCTACCCATGTACCTAGGCAAGCATGCAAACTAGGTAGGTACCACCTATTATACTGCTCGACCTGCCCAGTATACGCCTCTTATGTATCTCGATGCACACCTACTAGTCTCATAGCCGAGGGTGGTATAAACAACATCACAAAAACTGGTGATAGAGCTAGCCAACAATTTGTGTTGCTTGCGTTTAGGTAGCTCATAAAATGCCGGCAGTGAATCCTTCAAAGACTAGAGATCATCGTCTCAAATGCACATGAGACACTATAATAACGCGGGAAAATACCCCCAAAACATGGAGGAGTGCCTCCGACCGTGACAACCGCCACCCAGCCCGCTTAAAAGTTGGCCGATCTGATCCTGGCTCGCTGTCCTCTCCTGCCCGTCTCTGACAATCTCTGCTCGCGTATCCGTCTCAGCGTTGATCTGTCCGTTTCCCAACTTTCGGTGGGATGGGCAAAACCCCAGTGCAGAAGGTCGAACGGTTTCCAACTTTTGCTAAGCGTGGGCCATAGCTCGCAGCTGGAAGGATATACAATGTCGGCCCAAGCGAGAACGTATTGAATATTGTGTTTGAAAAAAGAGTCTAGGCAAGGATCTAGTGTGGGCGTCCATCGCATGGCAATCTTCAGATTTCCATAGAGCACACTGCTCCCTTCTCTCCATATTTTCTTGCATACACGGAGAAACTGCGTCGAAAGACCTGAGCTGGTGACGAAATATCGCTCGTCGAACAGATGGGTCCAGTCCAACATGCCGATGTGCAAGCCTGGAGGCCAATCAACAGCGTGTTTCAGAACAATCGCCCGAAAGGCGGGATCTGTGGAGCAGAGGAAGCAGAGAATCTGGCGTTTATCAACCAAGACCATGCGATAGATCTGGTTCAGTATTTCCGCGGGATAGTTCAAGTAGCCCATTGAATCAACTGGAGTGCGACGGGGAAGAATGGGGAGGCCGTCCATTTCGGGGCTGTGTAGTCTTTGTTCAAAGAGCGTGCGCTGGGAAAAAGCCAATTCCACGAGGCCAAGCAACGAGATGGCGGTGGGCAAATGGGCGCTTCCTAGTCTTCCGATGCTGAAAGATAGACCGTAAGATTCTGTTTCCTAACGATGAGTCTAAAGCCGAACGATGGGTGGCTGATGTCGATGTGTATCCTGAACCGATCTGACCGATTTGCGGAGAGTCTGAGGTAGTTGACCGCAGGTAGAACAACTGGACTGCTTACTGAATGGCAGGAGCGGCGGTCCAGCTAGGAGTCGGAGGGGAAAGCACAGAGCAGCTCTATGCCGGTACAGCACCGAGGATTGGGCCAGCCATCGCTTCTCCGCGGTGGGGAAACCGCAATCCGACTCTCTTCTCGTCTTCATCGTTTGGTCTTCTTCCTGGCCATCTTGTTCTTCCTCGCGATTTCCGAGGCGAAAACGACAGAGTTCTTGGATTTCCTCTTGGAGACTTTGTGTTTCTTGCGATTGGCTTGACTCCGAGACGGGGACGACTTTGCCGGCTTGGTGACAGCTCCTGGCCCATCGACGTCCATTACTGCGTGATCCGGTCAGTGGTGGGTTGTGTTTCTGTAAGATTGAATGAACATACCCTCAGACTGGGCGTTGCGAGACTCATCTCCCGTAGTCTGTTCGGCGTTGTCATCCACGTCCATGGCCTTTTCAGACTCTGGTTTGGGTTTTGCTGCCAACTCTTGGAGTTTTGCAGACAATCTAGCAGTACGAGCATCTGACGCAGGACCATACACCTTTGCGCGAAGATTGCGGTGATTCTTCTTGACCACGGAGGCCCGGGCGGACTTGGCCATAGTGTGCGTTGGAAGGGAAAATCTAGCAAGTCGAGAAGACAGACACACGGTGGTAACGAGTGTTGATTGTGTGCGGGCACGGTGGGTAAGAGGCTGAGAGGCAAGCAGGACAAAGAGAAATTCTGTGGGACATTTTTCCGCAGGTCCAAAAACTGCCGGGGTTGCGCCGATTCGCGATCCATTCATCGGAAATCCAACCAGTGACTGCGGCGTCTTAACGACTCGGCGACGGCAGCAACCTCACACCTTTGCAGACTTCTTTGTTGGAGGGGGAAAATGTAGCCCAACCTTCACCATCTGTCCTTGTTGATCACTCTATTCTCGCTCCCCTTCCGCTGGGCCACTCGCTGGCAGCCTTAGACCCCCGCCCACGAAAGAGGTTGCGACTGCGCGCGCAAGTTCGCCCTCGTCCTCGCCCTCGGTTCCGACCATGTTGTTTCGACGTCGTTGCCACCGATAGCCTCACCCGATTTCCATCCTTGCTGTCTGTTCGATCATCTTGTAAAGGAGAAGAACCAGAAAAAAGAGAAGGGAAGGAGGCCGCCAAACCATGGCAGGCACCATGGCGGGTTACATGCCTGCCCAAGCACAGGATAATGTGCAAGCGTTGATTGCCCAAGTAAAAACCCTTACTGTTGAGAAGTTGAAGAATGTACTGCGCAGCGAAGGCCTGCCCTTGTCTGGAGTCAAAAGTGAACTCCAAATCAGAACAATAGCCTGTATGCCAACTTGCCCTCTCCCCCACCGCGCTCCCACTTCTCCTCTATTGTATCCTGACCTCCATATCTACACAGATATCGAGAAAATGCGCAATGCAGCTGACATGGTCGCGCTGAATCGAATACGCAACACAATCAGGGGCGTTCCTCATTCGTATCAGAACGGCAACTCATACAATCCGCATTACTCGAACGACTCTCCCGCCTCTTCAGCCTCCCCTCAGTTTGCCTCACCGAGTGCTCACAACAACTACTACATGCCTTCTACCGCAACGTTAGGTCAAGGTACAGGAGGGGACTCTATCCGAGAAAAGGGACGCGCGCTGACGGAAATCAGCCCCATTCATCTGGAGAAGTTCACCTTTCTACAAGGTTCACAGACAGATCACCCGACTGTGGGAGTGCAAAGGTAGCTAATGACACTCTCTCCGCGCGGTACGCCGCACCCGCTGACGAGAACTTAGCCCGAGAGTCGACCAGAGATACAGCCAAGCTCATAGTGATGGTGTCCCAAGATACTCTCGATACGCTGCATAAGGATCCATCATACCGCATCATGGTCTTTTGCACTTCTGAGAATACCGGGCCTGTTCAGAGAGCAACTTGTGATATTGAGTTTCCTCACAACGTGGAGCTCAAATGTAACGGTACTGATATCAAGGCCAATCTGAAAGGATTGAAAAACCGACCTGGAACGACCAGACCTGTGGATATTACGAGCTTCATCAAGAAAAAGCCCGCCAATTATCCCAATTCGGTCGACATGATCTATGCTTTGACCATAAAGGTGCGCCCACTGATTCGGTCTCCCCTCTGTTTCATTTGTGTCCGATCTCACATCAAGAACTATCCATACTAAACAGGACAAATCACCCCCACAGAAATTCTACCTTGTGGTCAATCTGGTCTTGCAAAAGTCGATTGACACAATGGTCGCCGATATCAGGCGAGGCCGCGTGATCACCAAAGATCAAGTGATTCGGGAGAGTGAGTTCACTTTGGCATCACATTGGTTTGGGAGCTTACGGGAATCTAGTGCGCCGGAAAGCCGAAGACCCCGATGAAATCGTGGCTACGTCGATGGTTCTTTCGTTGAAAGACCCTGTCGGTTACACACGCATCACGACGCCATGTCGTGGTATCGGGTGTAATCATGTCCAATGCTTCGATGCAGCCCTGTATCTCCAACTTCAGGAACAAGCACCCACATGGACATGCCCTATCTGCAACAAGGCTGTGCCATGGGAACAACTGGCTCTGGATCAGTATGTAAACGACATTCTGAACCTAACGCCTAGGAGTGTGGAGGCCGTCAACGTCGATCCGGACGGGAGATGGCATATCCAGAACGAAAACGAAACTTCTTCTCGCAGATCTAACCCCACCCCATCGGAGGATGATGATGGTGACGATGACAACAACGATGGCGACGACGACGGCGATTTAGTGGAGCTCAGAATCGGACCCAGCTTTCGACCCTCGAACGTTGAAACACTGACACCACATAGCGTCAAGACCCCGCCATTATCGTCTCGCGAAGTATCAACGGCTCCTTCAGGGTCTAAACCGTCAGCACAGACGAGGAAAAGACCCCGCGAAGTCATTGATCTGACTTTGAGCGATGATGACGACGACGAGCCCCCTCCAAAGGTCTCGAGGGCATCCAATTCTTCATCCGTGGATCTTTCTCAGAAGGGGCCCCGGCAACGCGAAGATCGGATGTTCTACGCCCCTGGGCAAATTGTCATTGATTGGCCTCGGCGCCCTTGATTTCGTGGCCCTTCGCAATAAGCTTGTCTTACAGATATGGTATTTCGATTCACATGGCGCTTGGGGGAAAATCAGGAATCTGTGATGACAAAATGAATTTTGGGTGGGCGAAATTCAGGGGCGGAGGTACTCAGCAGCAGCAGGGTTCCAATAACTGTCTAAGAGGGATATGCGGGCTCCGAGGGCAAGTCGGCCGTACAGGGGATTTTCCGCAGATCAAAGGTGTCGTGGCCACCAACTTCTGATTCGAGAAGGGTTGTGCGATATGGCATGGGGGCTGGGACGACGGATCATGATTTTCTTTCCTCTGCAAACAACAGGCATGAGCTACTGCAGCACGCAAAGATATGGTGCTAGGGAGAATGGGTCATCAACACGGCACAGAGGAGGTGCAGATGACTGCGGGACTGGCACTTGCAATGCATGAAACAATTAGCCGGTGTAGATGTATGGCGAAGACAAACAGAAGCTTCCTCCTCGTTACGATTTCCGTGGAACTGGAAGGGTTTCTGGATGCATCAAGCGCCCCGAGTCCCACCATCTTGCCCGTGAGCTTGTAACAAAACCTGGTGTGTCCAGGAAGAGCACCAAACCTGTTCTTTGACCCAAGGCTTCCATGGCCAGTCGTACGAGTGTCATGCTCTCATCTTCTCACCAGCACGGCCACGACACACCACCGCTTGGCCTGATCTTTATTCTCGCCCGGCCTGAGAGGTTCCCAGGGTCTGCGGAGGCCGTTGACGTCGATCTCGAAGATTTCTGCGGCGTGGAGACGGCCCTGAACCTCTTTGGCCACCTGGGCTTCTCCGTCGCCGTCTTGGTCGTTCTTGTCCTTGTCCTCGCCGCGGGTGTCATTCTCTCTCGCGTCCTCCTCCTCCTCCTCCTCCTCCTCTGGGAGTCGATAGTCCCCGGTGGCCACCTCAAAGAAATGCCGCACGATCTCGCGACCGGTGTGGAAGCCGGCGACAACCAAGGCGCAACTCTCGATGGGGGGGCCCTGGGGCGCTGGACCCGACGCCTGCTGCTCTTGCCGGTGCAGATAGCGCAGGATCGTCTTGACGAGGTTGACGTGCTGGGACGGCATCCACAGGCAGTCGGCGATGATGATGCGGTCGAAATCTTCGGGTTGTGGCTCGGCAGGCTTGCCGTATTGCGCCGGCGTGTACATCGTCGCCGTGCCCCACGTGTAACCGAAGATGTCGATTGCTGTGGAACTCGGGGTTTGTGTAAGTGTTGCCGTGGACGGGTGCGATGGCGACGGTGAAGGTGAGGGTTCGGCGTCCGCATCCGCTGTTTCTGGCGGGTTGACTCGTTCGACGAGGTTCCTACGGACGTTTTGCTCGATGGCGCCGGTGGTCAGAGCGGGCGACGACGGGTGGTCGGTGATGGTCGCTGAGCGTGCGCCAGAGAGCGCAGCAACGATGGATGGCAACGCCGTCCCTGACTTTCGCATGTGAGCCGGCGTCCTGTATACTTTTTTTTGCTTGCTTCCCCAGCATCTTCTGATAATTGACGTACGTCAAGTCAAAAATGATTTGTGTTCTCTCTCTCTCTCTGTGTCTCTACTCTCACGTACCAGCGCCCAACTCGAGAACCTTAGTCCCCCTCACATCCCAATATCTCTTCTGCCATTCCCCCGACTTTTGCTCCTCGTCACTTCCGTCCTGGTGGTGGTGGTGGTGGTGGTGGTGCGGCGGCGGCGGTGGTGCCTGATCTCTTTCACCCTCTGTGCCGGAAGAACTGGCCCGCTCCAGCCCCTCGGCCATGATCACGCCCGCATTCCACAGGTAGTGCGCGAAGAGCGTGCGGCCTTCCTCGGCGGCCGGGTGCTGTGGTATCCGCAGGTCGATCTTCCCGAACCTGGGCGAGTGGTAGCTCACATGGCCGCCGGGGACGCCGTGGCTGGTCTGCGTATCGTCCGTGAAGAGGGTCGCGAGGGCCGACGAGAAGATGTCTTCGTACTGTGGATTGGCGGGGATGGGCGTGGTGATGCGGGATGTGAACATGGTCTTGGTAAGGAGGTAGAGAATGCTATCTTTGACCACAGCATAGACACGAGCACCTAAAATAAAACAAAAGTCGCTGGGTTACACAAACTATTCGGAACCGACTTGATTGTCAAAAAAGTTGACATGCAAGGCTGAGACGCGGGGCATTTTTAGATCCGCCCAATTGGGCGAGTGGGTTGGGGCGGATTTGGGGGGAAAAAAAGGCTGTGGCAGACTGGACTGTGTAAATCTTTCTTTGTTCCCATATACAAGTTTCACAAGGTACAGATTCTCAAGTTATTGCCCGTCGTACAGCACAATTTGCTGGATCCCACTTTTGTGTCTTTGGAACAACCCCTCATATCCTAGGCACACCCTGTGCTCCAAACAATGTCTGCAGAAAAATCCCATCCCGCTCACCTGGAACCAAGCGAACTAGGCACAAAGGAGTAGTGAGTGCGTCTCTCTCGCCCTGCCAAACAACCCTTCACCCAGAACCAGGGAGGAGAGATCTCGTCCTGTTGCACAGTACCGTGGACTAACACGGGGCATGTCGCCGATAACAGCTGGGACGAATACTACCGGAACGATCTGGAAAACGATGCTCGATCTGAAGACGACGAGGAGGAGGATGGCGATGGCAGTGATTCTGATGACGGGGCCGAGCAACCCCCCGATCCGGTCGAGCTGGAGTCGTGGTTCGACGACGTCGGCGCTCCGGCCAAGACACTGGCGTTTCTGACCTCGACGACGTTCCCGCTGTCGCCGAACTATACGGGGTCATTGGTCGATAAAGATTCAAGCGATCGGGGTAGTGGCAGTATTAGGGGTGCTCCGTCGGTGCTGGACCTGGGCACAGGCAACGGCAGCGCCCTGTTCGCGCTGCGCCTCCACGGACACTACGCGGGCCGTATGGTCGGCGTCGACTACTCGAGCCAGAGCGTCGAGCTGGCGCGGAAGCTGCGCGCACAGTACGCTTCGACAACGATGACGACAATTCCCTCCGACATGGCCGATCTGGACTTCCACGTCTTCGACATCATCCACGACTCGGCTACCACGCAGCCCTGGTGGCCCTCGCGCGACGCGGGCTTCGACCTCGTCCTCGACAAGGGCACCTTTGACGCCATCTCGCTCTCCTCGGCCACCGTCTGGGACCGGGACCCGAACGCGGGCCAAAGACGCATCTGCGAATTCTACCCCTCCAGGGTCCTGGACCTGGTCAGACCAGGAGGCTACCTGCTCGTCACGAGCTGCAATTGGACCGAGGCGGAGGTTGTGGCGTGGTTCACGGGCTCGTCCTCAGGAGGAAGAGCAGGAAACACCGACTCCACCGCTGCAGATACAGAGAGCAGCGATAGGGCCGTCTTCGAGGTGTACGACACGATAAAGTACCCCGTGTTCGAGTTTGGAGGGCAAAAGGGCCAGGGCGTCGCCAGTGTGTGTTTCCGAAAACGACAGAAAATCAAGACGGACCAGAGATGAAGAAATATCTTTTTTTCGTGAGATTTTTCTGTTTTGATCTGACTTGATCTGCGGGATTTTTAGGAGAGGCACCATATCTCCTATCCCGGGGCTCTCTATCCATGACCACCTCCGCAATATCCCCTGAGAAAGGCTGATGAGGCCAGGGATTCTTACCTCGAATCCAAACCCAAAGGCCCTCTCACATAGCCATCCGATATTGCAACCCCGCAAGACTCGTGCCTCGTATTTCCAGAAACTTGCACTGCGATATTCCGGGCCGCGGCCGGACAATGGCCGCTTTGATCATCACTCATCTCGCTTTTTGTCAAATCTAGTTCATCAGCATATTCACCGCCCATGGGACTGACAACTGGCGCAAATCCCCGTAATGCTGACCCACGCCAATAAATTGAACTGGCACCGAAGTCGCATGCACAAGACTGATCATTGTCCCGATCCCGGATCCAACCGTGTCAACCTTCGAGACGATGAACCCATCAAGCTTGCGGTTCTTACCTAGCGCCCGGGTGAAATTCTGCGCCTGGCCTACCGAGTCATTGCCGACCAATGCCTCCGCAACTTGGAGGATCAAGTCAGGTTTCGCAAAGTCCACCAGTTTCTCCAGCGCCGCCATGAGTTGTGTGTTGGTATGGGCTCGCCCGGCGGTGTCGATAAGCACGACCTGGTAGTCGTTTTCTTTGGCGAAAGTTACCGCATCTCTGGCCACATTTGCCGCATCTTTGCCATAGCCTCGTTCATAGATGCTGACTGCGCCGAGTCCTTCGCGGGCGGTGAGCTCCCTCAAGTTCCGCACATGGACGTTCAGCTGTTCCACGGCACCGGACCTAAATGTGTCACCTGCGGCAATCAAGACGCGATAGTTGTTTTGCAGGAGAAAGTAGCAGAGTTTGGACAGATTGGTGGATTTCCCAACGCCATTCACCCCCAGGATGGTGATGACGAATGGACGGGGTTGAGCCTTTACCCCCGTGGGATTCGCGACCGACTCGATCTGTTGGAGCAGGTCCAATGACGATCGTGGCGTGAGGATCTTCCTGAGTGAATTTTCCAACGCGGGTCGCAACGCAGCATCGATTGACTCGAATGCTCCAGTCTTCTTCCCGACCATTTCAGCCTCCACCCCTTGACACAATCGAATAGCTGCGTCGCGAGCGACGTTCTTGTTGATCAGGTGTTCTTCCATCGACCTCAGAGGTTTCTCAAGATCTTCTTTAGTCAATGTCTTCCCGCCCACGATATTCCTGAAATATCCCGAAATTGCTCCAAAGGTCGATTTTCCAGACCCGTTGATCTCGCTCTTGTTGGCGTCGGCCGATTTAAGGATATTGTTCACTTCATCCCCTAGATCTTTAAGCACAAATTGGCCTTGTCTATTCTTCGTGCCCCAACTCTCTTGTGAAATGGTTTCAGGTAGCGGAGACCTCATCCCTGCGTCGCCATTGGTGCCAGCATCAGCAGCCGAGTAGTCGAGTTTCACATCATCTTCCACATCGGCAATCCCATCAGGACCCCAAACTCGACCCTTCTTCGCGCTGGTTTTGGTCGGTTTGGATTTTCGAGCTTCGTCTCCACTCGAAACATTTGCAGAAGCCGTAACGTGCGCGGCCTTCCTTGCTCTACGAGAGCCTCGACTCTGCGGTCTGCCGTTTTCCGTCAAGAGGTGTGGCGCAATGCCGGGGAGAGGAGTGGTTGGACGGGATGTATCGGGTGAGTGGACGGGAGTGTTCTGGAGAGAGTCTGCGTTGGTCACTGGCACAGCTTTGCGCTGTGCCTGGGCAGACGACGGTTTTTCTGGTGGTGGTGGTCCTCCAGTGTCCCCCCCTTCAGCACTTGTTTTCTTTTCCTCCAGCGGCAATTCAACGTGGCTTGGCTCCCTGGTGATAGCCCCGCCCATGCTTTCATCCAAACGACGCATCTCTTCGTCAAAATACGGATCGAAGGGATATTTCAGAGCAGCATAATCGAGCTCCTCTAGCTGGCCCCTATAGACTTCGACAAAGATGGTCTGAATGTCGTCGAGTAATTTGTCCACCCAGGTAAGATGAAGGAGGGACTGGTAGACGGCCACAAAGATCAAGCCCAGGTCCTTGACCAGTGTGTATTTTAAGGTGTACTTGTCGTGTCTGTACGTGGGATTGTTGGAGCTGGTTGCGGTCGGGCGGACTTTCTCTTCGATGAAGACATCGTTGATCAAACTGTTGACCGCGGCTGCGCCAATCTTCGAGGAGGATCTCGACCATAAGACAACACCAGAGGTCGTCAGGATCTCAAAGGCGTCCAACATATTGCGAGACAAGGCTGGCTTCCACCGGGGACGGAGGCTACAGGCGAGCAAGGAGGGGGGACAAGAGGCGCACGCGAGAGCGACAGAAAAGCGCTATAGAACTGCGACAGGGAGTTGAAATGTGCCAAAATGACGTTGAATTTCCTGCCACGTGTTGATACGGAAAAGTTAGTCACGTGGAGATAGCAACGGACAAGCATTTTGTACATTTAGCGCAGTCGTGGCACGTAATCACGTGAATCAATTCTTCTTCATCCCTGGTCCTCGCTGTCTCTCACCTGTCTACAATAGTTGCTACTCGTCCAATCAATCCATCCCGTCGGTGAAAGCCTGGCTCTTCTTACTTCCCTGTTATCATCCAACTACTAATTGCGATCGCCTTAGGAAAGAGGAATCAGCCGATGTGGGTGGTACAACTAACAAGCAACCCTTTGCAGGGGAAGTTAAACCATGCGGCTGTATGCTACGGACCCCGCCTTTATTTCAGCATACTGTCCTATTGATGGCTGCAGAGACTGGCAGTCACCAGTCTGACGCCGGTCGAGATCAACCACTCTGTGCCCGCGAAGATACCCAGTCCCCAAATTCGTCCTGGTTCCGGGTCTGGATGTAAATCCTACCAGGCCCTGTAAATCGACAAACAAGACCCTCGCCGGTCGTCACGCTGTGAATACCTCCTTTGCCAGCCTTTTCAATGGCATATCGACAGTTCCATGCGACAAGATGACCGTTGTCAACAATGTGTTGTTCGTTGGCTTGAAGCTATTGCATTCGTTAGACGAGTGTTGTGAAAGAGGATCACCGAAGGACACAGGCCCAGATGGGACGAGTATCAGGAGTACGGATCCACTTACATCTCGGGTGACAATAGCACCAAAGGACGTGACCCAGAGTGTCCCCTGGCCAGAGATGCGGTAGATGAACAAGTCTTCCCCACTGAAGAAAGCCTTTCCGAGACCCTGGCTCTTGGTGTCCTTGACAACTCCACTCGTGCAGGCCAGAAAAGCATCCTTGCCGAGATTCCAGCCCTCATCTCCGCGAACAGGAATGGCCGTGATATCACCAAACAAGGTAGGTGCCAGAGATACTTCTCCAGGGCCAGTGAAGGTGGATTCATTCATTTCCCCGCCCGTGAACATCTTCTTCATGCTGAACTTGACCTTTCCCTGGAGCACGACGGTGGGAGACATTTGGATCATGGCCCCGGGCTTGGACTTGATGACGGCACCTTGGGGTAAACGCACGTTCAACATGGCATTCGTATCACGGTTAGTGATGGAATATGAGATCCCATCCGCTGTGGGGTGCCAGCTTTGATCAAAAGACCCTGCTGCTGTTGTTGGCGCTCCCTGGGGGGCATGATGTGGTGGTTGTTGCTGTTGTTGCTGGTGGTGCTGAGGTGGATATTGCTGTGCCTGCTGGTATTGATTCTGGTATTGATTTTGGTATTGGCCCTGGTCTTGATACGGAGCTTTCACGATCAGCTGTGTTGAAGTGGAAGAAGTCAGACTCATTTTCTCCTTACTATTTGCGCCATATTGTTGTTGGGGGTAGTATTGCCCCCCTGGATTCTGGTTGTACGCCATCCTTCCCTGGGTGCGTGGATATGCGGAAAGTGTTTCGGAGACGGAAACGAATCAAACGAGCAATTTACCGACTGCACAACTCGAGGTCAATAGAATGAGAAGCACCCGACGATGAGATGACGGTACCCTGAAGCCACCTGATTGTTGGAGGATTTATGCTTATATTATACTGAGAGCTTCTCACCGTGGAGGAAGAGAGGCCTGTGTGGCCTGAAGGATAAGACGTCTCTTGCATCAGTCGACTGGATTCTGGCCCCCAAACTACTGTTTTCGCCTTCAGCTGGGACGGTTTTTGTCTCGGCCCCCAACCATTGCTGGACTTTTTATTCGATGGAGGGGCGCATGACCTGACGAAAGAGCAAATCCTTCTGTGATCCTGAACCAAGACTACCACTTACCAGTTTGTTGGTACATTGCATGCTCGGTATCACAGTGTGGCTACCGAGTATTGGGACTTGGTTCATTGGCCTCCAGAGCGTTGACGCCCACCAGAGCAATATTAATGGCCTCCCCTCTGAAATTTCCTGTGGACGATCGAAACCACCACTAGTCCCAGACAGGTTATCACATTGCCCCGATCCGTCAGTAAAGGTCTGTTCCTACTCGGCACCGACTCGGTACTAGGGAGAAGGATTCCACCTGGAACAGGGGTCCGCACCGCGGGACCTTTGGTTGGTGACTCAGCAGATCTAATCCACAAGCTTGAACCGGACACAGATTTCGCAAGGAATATTCGTACACGTTATTATTGTTGGATCTAGGGGACGGAGCGTTTGCGCTCAGCGCTTGGTGTGACAGACCTCGTATAATAGTCGACAAACAGACAAGAGGACACGAGACTATCCACGTTGGCGTTCTACAGGTACGCATTTCTGGAGCCTACATGCGATGGAAACCAACCACGTCTTCAACAATGAGACTCTCATAACGCCATTCGCATCAGTGCTTATGCCTCGTCATAACATATGCAGAGTCCCGCTTGACCAAACTCCATAAGAGTACTTACATTTGCCACGTTGTATAGCGACCCCATCGGAGGATCTGAGAGGCGGTGGTCCTTTCAGGGCGTGTCTTTGGAAATTGCCCGCACAAGGTGGATCCCCTAGGTGGTGAATGGTCAAGAAGTTGTGTTCGGTATAGCCATATGTCCGTCCTGTGGCTGGTGAGGAGGCTCAGCGCCTCATTCTCATCCTCGTCCGTCCATCCTACGCGAAACGACCGTGTCTCCTCTGTGGCTAAGAGGGCCAATTTGGGTATTTGCAGCTTTCCGGACTGGACCGTGGGTATAGTCGGGGGTCAGAACACATCCCTTGTCAGTCAAGGTGCCGCAATGGAGTCAAACGGCCCTCGTTTCAATTCGTCGACCAAATCTTGCGGCTGAACCAGCGTTTGCCGTCGTTATGGCTCTAACTCTGTTCACATACTAGGCGAAGGACCAAAGGATCGAGGCTGTGGACCTGGTCAGCATCGACAGACCGTTCAGCCTTTGACATGGCGTACACTAGATGGTGAAGCGGAAGAGATCGCTGGCGCGTCAACGACAGGAGGGGTGATTGATTGCGTGGTATCAGGACCCTTTTGTGGTTCTCGATTCGGGGCGGAGACTGTAAGTGAGATGTGCCCCCAGCATGTCGACCAGCATATAAAGAAGGGGCTACGACATGGGATACCATCTTGAGCATCCTGACTGCACTCGCTCCCCAGGTCTTACCATGCTTTCGACGTCTACTCTCCACGCCTTGTGCGTGCTTGCACTCACGGTGGCAGTGGAGTCTCAGTCCGGCACACCATCATCTACCGCCACGGCAACCCTTGACGAGCCATGTGCTCAAGTGAGCGCACTTTCAAGCCAGTATATGGCGGCGCATCCCACAGGTAAAGCCCTCTATCTTCAGAACGCGACACATGGCTTTTGCAATAACTGACAGCATTGAAAGCGGTTTCTTTCCCCATGCCTCCAGGTTTGTTGAGACGTCCCATCTGGCTATTCCTACTCGTGTCTGATGGCTGGGAATAGATGTGGCCTATGCGTGTTCACAATCCGTTCCGTTGGTGAAAGAGGATACACTTGCTGTCCTCACGGGCCTGAAGGCTTTGGTACAGTGGCAAAGTACGCTGGGCTGGCTCAAGGATCCACCAGCAGACTGGCCCTTCCCTCCTGTCGACCTGGTGGCAGGACTGGAGGATCTCACCAACAAGGTGCAAGACGGGACCATGACGCGAGAAATCGATTTTGAAACCCAACTAGTCGATTTGATCACTTCAGTGCGCGATGGGCACTTGACCTATGTGCCAGATGCCTACTCGGTCTTCCAGTATGGCATCCAGGACCTACCCCTCTATTCCATGTCGACCGATGGCAAACAGCTGCCAGAAATCTACGCGGCCGCGGACGTGATAGCCCAATCCCTGGGCGGAGCAGGAGGATGGACGCCTTCTCCCATTGTCAAGATCAACGGGACTGAGGTGGTTTCCTGGCTGAGTGAACAGGCTTTCAACGGCACCTTGACGCATCAGGACTTGGACGCCTTGTACAACCGTCTCTTCGTCACCATCTTCGCTCCAGGAACCTCGAATGGTGAGTTCAGCGCCCCATCGCTCAGTCGATATTCGGGCTCGTCGATTGCGGTCGAGTTCAAGAATGGGACCCAAGCAACCTTCGCCATCGTCGCAGCTAGCAACCAGGACTTTACCAACGTGGTCGACGGCAAGAGTTTCTACCAGGCTTTCTGTGATCCCACCGTCAAGGCCAAGGCAACAGCGAGCTCGTCTTCGGCCTCTCCCGCCGAGCCTACCGAGACGACGGTACCCGATCCTTCTTCCCTGTACCCGTTGTACCCTTCAGCCGTGGCCATCAATGACGACGGCACGCTCTCCGGCTACTTCTTGGATCATGAACCAGGCGTGGCTGTTTTGGCCATCCACGAAATATCCGAGGCCGCCCAGGTGTCGACGCAGCAGACTCTAGCCAATTTCTTACAACAATGCCGGGATGCCAACAAGACCCATCTCATCATTGATGTCAGCCAGAACCCCGGTGGCACTATTCTCGTGGCCTATGACATCTTCAAGCAACTCTTCCCAACTCTTCAGCCTTATTTGGGCGCTCAAATGCGGGCGCACGATCAGGTATGCCATGAAATATTCCACCGTGGTGAAGTGGCTGTGTTTTTCTAACTTTCTGCGTAACTTGCAGGCCAACGTCCTCGGAGAATACTATACTCCTCTAGTTGAACAGGCCGAAGAGCAGGATGCCGTTGCCAACATCACCGACCCGGTACTCCTTGCAGGTATATTCTCTCCGTTCGATGCCACGTCGGTGCTCAACGATAGTGGTCAAGCCTTTGCATCCTGGGACGAATATTTCGGACCGGTCCAGGTGCACGGTGACAAGTTCACGCAGCAGTCCCAGATCAACATTTCCAATGCCGACTACGATGAAAGCAGTGCCGGCATTGTTGTATCTGGCTACGCCAACAACTCGCATGTTGCGCCTCAGCCTTTCCTCTCGGAGAACATGGTCGTCTTCACGGACGGGTTTTGCGCCTCGTCGTGCACGATCCTGATGCACCTGCTGAAATATCAAGCCAAGGTCAAGTCAATTGTGGCCGGGGGTCGCCCACAGACCGGGCCGATGCAGGCGATCGGCGGCGTCAAGGGGTGCCAAGTTCTACCTCTGGACGCCCTCGTCCCAGCAATCCAGTCGTTTTACGAGAGTGCCTCGCCGGACGAGATCAAAGCGGCCAACCAGACGGCGCTCAAAGACCTGGCCGACCAGGCCGCCACGCTGTCGCTCCGGCAGTTTCCCGGGGGCGCGGTCCAGTTCAACCTCCTCAACGCCATCGCGCAGTACGACGAGTCGCAGACGCCGCTGCAGTTTGTCTACGAAGCAGCCGACTGCCGACTCTTTTACCAGGCCGCGCACGTGACAAACGTCACGGCCATGTGGAACACGGTGGCCGAGCAGGCCTTTGGCCTGAACGGGCAGGAAAAGTACTCGCTGTGCGTGGCCGGCAGCACGAACCACCCGACCAGCCTGAGCGGCAACCAGACCTTGTACCAGGGCGGCGAGATTGCCAATGTCACCGGGTACAACCCGAGCGAGGACGCCGCGCAGGGCAGCGGCAGCGGCGACGGCTCGTCGGATAATGGTTCCGGGTCGCTGAGGTTTGCCTCAACGGGCATGACCAGCTTGATCTTGGGGGTTGGGTTGGCCGTGCTGGCCTCGTCGACCGATTTGATCTTTTAGCCAAGAGGTGACGTTAGTTGCGGACGAGTTTGAAGCTGAGGGTTCATCGTTTATCATTTTGTGTTTTGCATTGAGCATTCAGCATTGAGCATCGAGAGTTGAAAGGGGGGATTTTTCTTTTTCCTTTTTTTTTTTTCCAGTTGTCGCAAATGTCTTAACACATATGATGTGCATATTCAAGTATCTATAACTATACATATATCTACTTTGTGTCTATAGACTAGGTTTTGACGAGACGAGACGAGAAAAGATGATTTTATCACGGCGGTACTGAGTAGCCTTTTGTGAGATTGAGATTCTTCAGATTCTACAGATTCAAGTTCATGTCGTATGTACCTGCCTACTGTTACTGCTACTGCTACATACCTACCTACCTACCTACCTACCTTCCTGTCTACATGGCTGGGTACCCAGGTGCCAACGGATATCATCACTTGTAATGGCGTACAAGGCACAAACAAGATACAAGGACAGGACGCCTGGGCAGCAAGCCCATTAGGTATGCGAGGGCAGGACAAGACCAGGATACGCGCCGGTCCTATACGTGGTGTCCATGTACATATGATGTACGTGTAATGTAGGCTTTGTCATCGCCCATCAGACCACCTACACATACTGACAAAGTATGTACATCCACATGATATACCTGTGGGTGCCTGGCAGAATATACGCTTACATAGCTCGTACATTAATTACATAGATTCTCGCAAGGGGTGGTTGGGATAGCCTCGCGCGAGACAACCGAGACAACCCGAACCAAAAGGCTTGCCTCTCGCGCGAGAGGCAAAAGCTTACACACCACTCCATCTTCCGATTCAACTTCGATAGTATAGTATAGTATAATTAATAATTATACTTCAGCATGGCTTTCAGCCTCTCACATTACCTCCACACCTCCATACAAACCAAGTACACATTGGCTCGATCTCGACGGTAACTTGTCTCAAAATCCATTCACCAAAGCTTAGCTTGCCTTGCCTTGCCTTCTTGTATCGAAAAACACTCCTGTCATATAGATAAAGCAAGGGATACAAACCCCCAATGGCATCGTCGCCGACCACAACAGACACCAGCAGACGCTCCAGCTTGGCTTGTCATCAATGCCGCCTCAAAAGACAAAAGGTGGACATGTCCCCCCCTTCCGCCTTTCCCTGTGGATTCCTCCCCATGTCGTTGTCGGTGTTTTGGAATGTCTGTTTGACTGACTCTTGTCTTCTTCCAGTGTGACGGCAACAGGTAAGGACACCCACAATCCAAGAATAGATCACAGGACACCTGTTCGGAGGGGTCTCTTGATGGTGCCCCTTTTGAGCCTGTCCCAGAAATCACTAACAAGCAAACCTGAAAAGGTCGGGATGTTCGCAATGTGCTGCCCTCCGAATCTTTTGCACCTTTCCCTACGCAAAGAAAAGGTATGTCAGTTCATGAGGCACGTCTCTTTCAATCACGGATTCCTTCACGAGTCATCAGCTGAGCAGGTGTCGTTGTTCCTCAGTCTGGAGAGTATTGATAGAATGACTGTGCCACCAAAGTCTTCACATGCTGACAACCTTCTTCTGTAGAGGTCCGGTAAAGGGATACATCGACGTCCTAGAAGGCCGCCTGTACGAGCTCGAGTCGGCCCTGCTCCAGGCTCTGCCCTTGGTATCCGACGACCAGCTCAACCAAGTCACGGCCTCGATCCCGCCCATCCCCAATCGCCGGCATTTTAGAAATCGTTTTAGCCAGCAGAGTAGCAGCGACTTCACCACGCCGCCCCCTTTCGAGGTTGTGTTCCACCAACCTCAACAAGAAAGCCACCCTCGACATCATCAGCAGCCTTCATCTCGGATGATCTTGCCCGCAGGCAGTGACCTGTCTTCCAGTCCCGTCTGGAGTAACTCGGAATACCTAAGACAGGTCATGTGCGATTCGCCGCATCACCAGCAGCAACACCATCAGCACCACCTACCTCCTCTGGAGCTGGCACCTTTCCATCAAGATCCGTGGCTATCACTACCGGCGCTGAAGGTCGCTGGAGATTCGATCGCGCACCACCAGGACCAGTCTCCCGTCATCTCTGCACAGAGTCAAGGGTTTGACGGTCAAGGAGGGCGAGGAGGAAACGCCCAGTTCGACTTCTTGCCCGACTTCTGACCTGAAATAGCAGCACGAAAGAGGGACAGCTAAAATCTCCATCCCATAAGGGGTCTCATGATCGGAAAGTAAAGAGAATGATGATGGGTACAGAGGGCTGGAACCATCGATCCTTCTCTCTGTCGTTCTTTCTTTCGGTTAAGCAATGAACCAGAAACACTAGACTCACCGACTCAGGCCCGAAAGTGCAGACACAAAAATCCCTCCTGTCTTGTGTGTTGCAGAGCAATGACAATATGGCCATGACTGTTCCGAACTCGGAGCCAACTTGATCCTTGTCCATGCATCAAAGCCAACTAGCGAGAAATTCGAGAGCGAATCTGTATGGTGGGCTGGATTGTTTGAAGAATGAGTTTGCTCACATGAACCTCGCGAGGCTCAAACATATCGCAAAACAGGGGCCTAGCTGGGTACAAAAGAGGAACATGACTGGCCACAAGCAACGGGGGACATCAGGAAAACTCGACTCACTCCACCTATTCTTGCCCTCACTTCGGTCTGCTCAATTAGCAGTGTACAAGAAGATAGACGCCGTTCAAGGGCAAGGGGCCGAACTTCAGGATCCCGATCCCTGAATGGGTGGATGAACGTCGTGCTTGCTGGCTGGATCGATCGATAATGCGTGCGGTCCACTGCGCGGCTATCTCAGGACAACATCTCCTAGATCTCCTCGGTCCTTTGGCCCATTGGATGAATCATGGCTTGGGCTTCTTCATCTTTCACACGGGTCAATCCCACACTTCACGAAGCTTTCTTTCGATAGTGTTTGGTCTTAGCGAGCTTGTCCGTGTTCACACCTTTCGTCTGCTCTCTTTATGCTGTTCTTCTTCAGGATATCAGCGTGAACTCATCCATTTCCCGCACAAGAGACGAGAGACGAACGCTAGTCCAAGGGAGCAACCCAATCGCAACTTAGGAATAGTTTCCGTAAAGATGGTGAGCACTTGGGACCGCCTGAAATATCCCAACTCGGTTATGGGCTTCCTCCTTTATTATTGGGCAGGTCAAATCGATGCCCTCGCAAGCGCGCCCACGGGTTTCTTGGTCCGGGGTCACCATGCGAGGGTCTCAGCACCAGCCTGACCCAATGGTGGAATAGACCTCCATAGCTCTTACTCTGACTCAGCAATCGGCGGATCAAATGATGCCACAGTGCGTGTAGCGGGCCAATCCGCTTCTCGCCAGGTCCCGAACATCGTCTGGAGCGGAGAAGGCGAACTTCACCCTGGACTTCCTCCATTCCTCAATCTTGTGCAATAGGATATTCATCGGACTTGAAGAATGGACATGACATCTCCTGGAAGTGAGTCGACAGACGAGAACAAAACCCTCGGGTCGGATTTCCTGTGGGTTGGTTCAGGCAGTGGTATCAGCGATTCAGCTAGCCATATTTACGAGAGAACGGTACGGAGCCATGTCCAACGTTGGCCGAAGACGCGCACTGGTCCAACAACGCTGCGTAGCGGCCCTCCAATCAACAGAAAACGAAAAGTCGCTCCAAGGGTTCAGACGATCCAGTCTCTGTCGCTGAAGCCGAGGGCCAAAACCCACGGTTCGCCACCAAGTGCACGTTGCTTCTCTCAATTTACCGCGGCGCCCATGACGCCAACATCTAGTCTGGAAAGTCCATTCGAGTCAAAGGATCTAGAATTCGCGGAGATGAAGAACGTGAGCGCGACCGAAGTTGATTCCCCGGCTGCGGGAGAGTCCGGGGATCACTGTCCACTCAAATGCGATGCACCTGTCCCGGAAAAGGGAGATTCGGACGAAGTTGAAAGTGCCATTGTCCCAGTCTCATGGAGGGACACCCAACGGGGGGGCCAATCCTTTCAATCTCGCATTCAGCAGACTATGCGGCTTTGGCAGTCAATATCACCTGCTTTGTCCGCCACCCTCGACTCGGATAGACTGGAGAAAATGGTTCGAAGTCACCGCATGACCTTCTCCGCCGTCTGCTCAGTCAAGAAAGCTCTCACCACCCGAGAGTCTCAGGAGGAAGCACTGATGTTCGAGCGACTGATGAGGAAAGGTTGCAGAGCTTTGGAGGCGAAGAGAGTGAAGGAAGCTTTCTTGCTGTTTGATAAGGCCTTGTCATATCTCAAGCCGGTTCTGATCATGCAGAATCTTCGAGGAGAGCCGATGTTGCTGCGTCTCATTACTCAATTCTCTGGACCGCTCTTTGTGCCCCTCTGGCTTCGGGTCTACCAATACATTATCGGGCTCGCAGAAGTGTTGATCAGTCCAGACAACCCCTTCGGACAGAGTGCGCGTTCGTTTATCCGGTCTCCGGTGCCGATGATCGAGGCGTCAGAAATCGTTCTCCGCTGTATCCTCGACGTAGTGCAGACGCAGCTTGGACCAATGCATCCAGACGCCCTGGATTGTCTTGAATACCTTGCCTGGTCTCTGTTCGACAGAGGCCTCGGACAAGAAGCTCTGGCCCGCTTCACCGAGCTGCTGCAAAGACAGGAAGCCGCTAGAGGAGCCACGTCTCCAGAGGTATGCCATGCCGTCCGCGGGCTTGCCGAGACGCATTTGCTACTTGGTGACCTCGATGTGGCCGAGCGTCTGTTTGACGAGGTCCTTGGTTGGCGATGCATGGGCCCAGAGAGGGAGAGCCTGCAGATGACCGCCATCAGGGCCAGGTGCTTGCTTTCTCTGTCTCTCCTGGCGCAGCGACGGCAGAGGCCATTTCGCGCACGGTGGCTGTTGCAGCAGGCGGCGGATACAGCGTCTTGGGGACACGGTGAAGGTGGCCAGAACACTGCAAATGTTTGCTTCGACGAGAACCTCCCGGACCTCGATCCACTGGACGAAATCAAAGAAGAGATCCAGAAGGTGCTGGACGCAGTGGAGTCGTGCTC